GGTGGCAGAACAGAAAGTGAAATTAGCAGGAGATCGCAGAGTGGTAACAAGAGGCCACTGCAGGGAGATGGGCTTCTGTTTTGAGTGCAGGGAGAAGCAATGAAAGGTTTGAAGCAGGGGGGTGTGAAGTGATTGAACTTTTAAAAGTACCCATGAACTGCTCTTTTGAGATTAGACTGGTAATGTAGAGAAGAGAAACAACAGATGAGGCCCTTGCAATAATTCAAGAAAAAGATGATGGTGGATTAAGCCACAGTAATAGTAGGAGAAGCGATGGATTCTGGACTCATTCTACAAGTAATGGGATAGGTTGGGAGATTAAAGAGGAAACGAGTTAGGGGTTTAACCTAAGAAAGTGGGAAGGTGAAATGGTGATTTTCTGAGTCAGAGAAGACCACAGAAGGAGCACAGCACACAAGAAGATCAGGCTTGAATTTTGCTGAGATTAAGCCCGGAGTGCCTGTCATCTAGTCACCGCCAATGCTCGGCAGCAGCTGGCTCAGCAAGCGCGGTCCAGGAAGCTGTTCTTGCAGGAGACGTAGGTCAGGATCTTAACATCCAGAAAACATGAGAGAGGCAGTAAGAGAGGAGACAACAACACCCTGGCCCAGATCAGGCTGAGAAAGAAGAAACCAGAAGGCTGAAGGAGCGCGAGAAGGGGAGACCCAGGGGCGTAAAGAGAGCCTCAGGGGAGGAGGGGCTCGAAGGAAACATCTGTTTTCCGCCCTCTGCCTCCCTTTGGGGGGCTAGTTTGAGTCAGAGATGCTCGGCGGCGGCGGCGGCGGCGGCGGCGGCTTGCTTACGGCCGCTGCGCCCACCCATTCATCCAGCCGCTGCGCCCACCCATTCATCCGGCCGCTGCGCCCACCCATTCATCCGGGTGTTCTCCACACCCGTTTTCCTCCCACTCCAAGTGCGCAAGTTGCTTTCTCAGCAGAACCTTCAGTTCCGAATTCTTCACACTCAACCAAAGTTGCTTTTCCTGCCTCTAGCAGGATGCAGATGCCCCTCCCCTCCGATCTTCAGCGCTGCACAGCAACATGACCTCTGGGTACTGGTGACACACTAATTAAGGAGGCCCAGCTCTACCAGAAGATGACTTTTTTAAAGTCGGGAAGAAATGCTTCTCTGAATGCCCATCGGATTTGCCTAACCTTGATTTGGTTTGTCTAACCTTTAAGTTTTAAATGCTCAATTGTGGAAGTTAACAGTCAATGCATACGCCATTCTTTTTTTTTTTTTTTT